CGTTGAAACATCCTAACAATGCCCATTCGTATCTGAAGCATTAGCAATTGCTTAAGTTAATTGAAGACTTTAGAGGACAGCGTCTACAAAGGCGTCATCTTTTCAAGATATCTACAAAAAGAAAACAAATGACTCATACAAACACATTGCCAAACACTGACAATTGAAAATATATACGTCACAATAAATGACAGGTTAAGTTAAAGAAATTTAAACAAATTACTTCCAGTTCTCTTTCTTAAATGTTAAACCTAAACCAATGACTTTCTGGAGGAGGAGGTTGTTTAAAAATTGGGTTTAGAGTTCAATGGGATTGAACTGAGCATTCTATTAGGTTCACAACTTTGGTCTAAATAAACGCAACAAATATATTGCTCTTACTTATTGCACCAAAATAAAACAAAAAACTTAAAGATCAAAGTGTACTAACACGCATTAAAAACTACATTTTTAGTTATATGTTATGTGTAGGCACTTTTCGTATTTCCAGTCACCGTCGAAATGCCACAGTGACATGAAATGGCAATATCACCACAAAAAAAAAACAACAAAAAAACAGCAAAAAAAAAACAAACAAACAACTACATAACAAAGGTTTCATGAAATATTCATACCCATTTTCTCCTATGTGTGTTAATCTAATCTGCCGCCCATAGCTTCCTTTATTTTTCGCACTCGCTTGTTGTCTCGGATCAATCATCGACATTCAAAAGGTAGGGAAAGTGAGGGTAATTAGCGTTAATTTTTGGATTTTCAATATAAATCACTACCAATTGCTTCTGCAAAAAAAACTATGTGCTGTTATATCTCACAGTAGTTCTTAAGCCAGGGTTTTCATCACAAAAATTAATCAAAAATAGGTTAAAACTCTCTCAAATTTCAAATTTGTAAAAATTTGCATTTAACCACCATTACTCCCATACGCGATTAATGGGAGTCACGAAGTGAGTATTAGAAGTCACTAAAGTAATGCAAAGCAAAGTGAACACATTAAAACTTCAAACTGTATTTATTTTATTTACAATAATTGTAGGCGAGTAATTGGATGTGACAAATTTCCTCAACTCCGAGATTGTAACTCCATAAAACATATTTGCAAGCATCTTTATGTGTTTAGCCGTTCCGGTAATATTTTTACATCCTATAAGAGATAGATTGACTTTCAAAGGTTTGCACCACATCTGTGCTGATGATCATTGTCCTTCATTGGTCGTTCGTTTGCGATTTCTGGGAATTTGCTATCAATCAAACTCATTCAGATCAATAAATTATTTTGTTTGGGATCATGGAAGTCATGCAGCAGGTAATGAGAATAGCTCATAAGAATAACCTTCAAGTACATTTTTACTATAAATGCTCATAAACATTTATATAAATTGTTAAATAAACTGTTTTAATGAGGTTCAGTTTTGAAATCTTAAAAACCGGAGGGATGTTTATTTACCAGAAAAAACCCATAGGACTCTGTGACAACATTCTTAACCTCCGACGCACTATAAGTGTCCTGTGAGATCGTAGGCTTCCACTGCCGGAGTCAGTTTTACTAGGCCGTCCGGGTGACGCCGCGACCATGGCGAAGGTGCCGACGTTTCGGTGGCCATTCTGCGACCTTCCTCAGGACGAAATGCGTACAGTACGCTCTGAGGAAGGTCGCAGAATGGCGATCGAAACGTCGGTACCTTTGCCATGGACGCGGCGTCACCCGGGCAGCCATTAAATATAGGTGTTCTGTCCCCCCTTTTCCATGTGATTTCAAATCGATAGTATACTTGTAGCTTACTTGTATCTTTCGAATAATACTCGTACTACTAGCTGTCCGCTTGGCATGTGCACAATGCTGAAAGACAGCAAAAACAACAGTAACAATTGATACTAAAATTTATGTCAGGGGGCAGCCGACACGCCTTAGCCCACGCTTGTGATTGTGCTCTGGCTGAGGGCTGCACAACAGCTGAGCGCAGTGGGGCGCCCACCCCATATGCCGAGGCGTAGACTGATGCCCAGATTACACACCCGGCGCACGCGATGACATTCATGCAGCCTCAGGATATTTATTCAACGTCCCACCAAATAACATAGAACTTGATACCTAAAGATTGGAGTGGTTAACAGAGTTCGCGTTGTTACTAAAGATTGCGCGAAGGAAAACATGACACAAAAATTTAGTAAAATTGGGATTTATTAAAACGTCGAATAAAAATTAAAAGTAAACCATAACATACTCAGTTAATTAAACAAGAAAACACATTACTACAATACCAGTAATAATTCACTCCTTGAATCTTGTCCTTATAAATGGGATCCCATATGCATTTTACTACTATTGAATTACCAGCTCATAAACTAAACGTTTGCAAAATATCTTCAACATATAATTCACAAATTTATCTCCTTGTAGTTACACAATATTCTCGTAAATTCACATACCAGTTCCGTCTCAAAAGATATAAATTAGAATTACAACTTGTACAAGGTTGGGCTGCTATGTGCTTGACAAGAGCGTATACAATTTTGAATTAAGAATTTTTTTAAAAGTTTGCTCCGACAATTTCAAAACAATAAACTTGTAACTCAACAACTAACTTTCTACTATAAAATCAAGGCTTTGCAACATATCGTAGATTATGATACGCAGATGGTAATTCAGCAATCTTGACACATTTGGACAACATTGGCAATATTGAAACAATTTTCATTAGACTATATTGGTGAGTTGATCGGGTGAAAATACAATATCGAAGACAGCTCCAGGCCCGTGCATTTCATTTCAATCAGCCGGCTCCCGTGTGGCCGTGCAGCCGCGGCCGCCCGCAGGCCAGAGGGAACCACGGCAGCGCAACATTAATTACTCGGAAGTTTGAAGAGCAAACAAATTAATTTTCGTGTAATTAGTTAGCAATTAAATCGTTCTAAATATAGTATAAGTGTTTTTGTTGTAATCAATTAGGGTGTGCAAGCTAGATCATAAACAAGATCACTATTAATCACAAAAACATGTAAAAAGCAAAACAAATATTTTTGCACAATTAATTTGAAATTAAATAATTATAAGTGGTGGCATACGTGTTTTTGTTGTAACCGATTGTGGTGTGTCAGATTAATCTTAAGCTAGCTCAGCATAAATTACTCAGAAGTTTGAAGAGCAATTAAAGTTTGGCTTAATTAATAGCAATCGTTTCAAATTTTGACATATTTGTTTTTGTGGTCACCGATTGTTGTGGTGGCAGCTTAAGAGAGGTGGCGAAACGGCTGGTGTCCGAAAAATATATTTCCTGACATGGACCCTTACGTAAACGGTGTTTATGGCAGGGTCGGCAACAATATTTAATCAATTATTTCCTACATCTAGGAATGATTCATGACAAGACATATCTGTATTTAACGGACGAAAAAAAATATAAAATGGTCCGCCTCACATAACTCATCAAAACATTAATCGGTGATATTTCCGCTAAAGAAATGACATTGTTTACAGACCTATGGAATTTTCTATTACTTTCTGACATTTTACATTTCGTTTTAATTCAAATTTGTGAGGTGATCTTTCGATGTTATCCGCCTACAAATAGGAGGGGTGTATTCTTTTGATAGGCAATTATTCCTAATAACTCATTAAATTGAGTATTCTTAACAGTCAATAATCGTCACGAAGAATTTTCCTGTTATCAGGTATTGAAAATGAAACAAAAAAGTAATTTAATGACTTCAGTATACTACTTTCTGAAAGAATCTAATCCTTTTTATTGTAATGCTTCAAAAAATAAACACAAAACCGTCAAAAGAATTGTGAGTATTGAAAATTATAGAAAATTAATTCATTTTCTACCGTGATCCAAACAACAGGTAAATCGCGATAAATATTATATTGTTTGCAAATTAAACAAGCATTCACCCACAGCACTTCAGTGAACGTACAGAAATCTGTCGAATTAAGGAATTGAGAGATGTCCCAACTGACAGAAAAGGTGCATCCTCTCAAAATCTGCATCATTAAGTCAAACTATTGGTTCAAAATCTAAATTCCTCTTGTGAATAAGAGCATTCATTAATTTCAGTCGAACTGTTGTCGTGTGTTTAAAAGTATTATCAATTTCCAAATAACATTAATAGAAATATCTGTGAACAATTTTCAATCATAATATTAGCGATACTCACGAGCCAGAATCTTAAATATAATATTCTGTTCGTTCTTCAACGATTGTACTTGATAACGTGCTCTAAAGCAGGTCGCTAAACGCCGCCACCCCAATAGTAAAGAGTTGTACTGATAGAGCACCTCCTCGTGGGAGCGCTTGTACGCGGTGAGGAGGAGGAGGAGGCCATGTCGGCGGCCGGCGGCGGGGGGCGTGGGCGCGGGGCGTGGGCGTGGGCGGAGCGCGTGGCGCGAGCGCGCGTGGCGGCGGCCGTGGCGCCGCTGCGCGTGGCGTGCCGCGTGCTGGGGATGGCGCCCGCCAGCTGGAGCGACGCCGCCGCCGCCGCCGCCCCCTCCCGCGCCGCGCGCGCCTACTCCTCCGCCATCTTGGCGCTCGGAGGCCTCATCGGGGCCGCGCTCTTCGTCTACAAGCTGATCAAGGCGGAGAAGCTGCAAGTTTTCTGGATAGCTGATTTGTTGGAGGTATTCTTGTTTGTTTTGTGTTATTTGCCTAGGCTATTTGACAAACAGAATCGCACAAAAAGAGTGATTTCAAAAAGAGAGATATTTAGATCTCAATGAACTCTAGTCCAAATCATCTCACCAGTTCATGGCAGCTGACAAGCTGGTGGTGATCGAGCAGTCATGAATATATATCCAATTCATACCCTCTTAACTAGCGTGGGCGCAAACACCTGACACCCTGACGCTTGCGTGGATGCGAAGCACTATTTCAGACCATATAAAGTGCTGCCAATTCCAGCTGACGTCTACGGCCTCTGCGTATCTGGCTGCGCGAGTGATGACGGGGATGCGTAGCACCATTCCAGACCTCCTTATCTAGCGCTGGCGCTTGCAGCTGACGTCCATGGCGACTGTGAGCGTGGCGGCGGTGGCGCGAGCGCTCACCTGGGGACGAAGTGGCGTCGCGCGCGCGCTGGCCAAGATGGCGCGCGTGGACGCGGCGCTGCCCGCCCCCGACCCCGCCGCCGCCGCCCGCGGAGAGCGCCGCCGCATCTGCCTCTTGGTGGCTGGGCTCTACGCTTTTAACGTCATGGACGCTGCCGTGGACCTTGTCGGGTGGACTACTACGGTTGGAGAATCTTTTATGCCGTTTTATGGATTCTACTTGTTCGTAATTGTAAGTTTATTTTTGTTTTTTAATTTGTTGCTTTGAATATGAAGTATTCTACCTTTTCGGAATTGAATAAACTGATTATGAAAAGCCAATAATTTTTTTAACTACTTTTTAAACTTATATAAAATATAACTTGCTAGTCTGCTCATTGTCATTAAGTTATCGCACCGATTTATGTGTTAGTAGTTCCAACGTGGATACCGATTGTGGATTTTTGTAGAATGAAATATGTATGTATTGTGCTGAATGGTGACCTGCACCCACTACCTTGCCCGGCTATGCGCTTACAACATGGATTTCATATAGATCACGGACGTTTTGAAAAATCACCTCTTTTCGGTATTTAAGTCCCACAATTTTTGAAATCTGATTACTTAACTAGTTAAAGGGAGTAATTTACTATATAGTAGAAGAGGTTTTATCTACTTGTTCTGTATCGAGGCCCCACAACACAAGTTTTTCTGTCGAAAAATTTCCGTTTTTTTGCCTCGTATACGAGAAAGTAAAAGATGTCTATCTTTATAATAGTAGTTGTAGAAAAACGCCGTTTGTAAAAAATGTTTTTAACAATTTTCGAAAAATCAGAGTTTTTAACGAAAATGAAATGTACAGTATTCTCTTAAACGTCGTTTATCCAATCCAACCACAATTTTTAAACAAAATCAATGGAGTAATTCTTTGAGAGAAAATCGAAAATGACACCAAGAGCTTCGTGTAAAGCATCCTCCAAAATTAAAATATAGGTTTCCAATTCAAGATCCCGCGATTTCAATCATACCGATTGGAAAATATATTTTAAATTCAGGTGGTCTCATGATGTATTATACTTTCAAAATAAATTCTACTGAATAAATCTGTAGCTGAATAAAATTCTTCTTGATATATATGAGTTGTAGATAAACACGGACGTAACCTTTATCGGTCAACGGGTACAATTAATATGTGCATTAGTTTTAATATTTTAATTTTTGGAAAAATATTTCTTCACACATTTTTGCATAAATGATTCTATTTGTTTCAATGTCACGATGAGAAGGTGGGAGAGAGTTGTTCCGAATGAGCACTCGCACAAATTGTTTCGACGCTCACAGAAATATCCAATTTCCAATGTCGTGAATTATTAACAGTGTACATAAGTGTGAAACGATAAGAGATCTTCATTCAAACCAGTTGCAATAACTTATAATTCGGACCACAGTTTAAAAAACAATTTTTATCCTGTAAATGTCATCCTTTTTGTCATGTCATCCTGGGGGAGATTGTTGTTCACAGATGTACCCTGCTGCCGATCTGCAGTTCTCAGTGCTAGTGCGAATGCTGAGTGCTCGCTTTCGACGCATCAATGCCTGCCTCCTGGAGCATGTGCCATCTGCCGATGAACTGCTGCGTTTGCGAATTCTGCATGACGGACTTTGCGACGGCGCAGAGATCATCAACAACCTCTTCAGCTTTACAGTAAGAGGCAGTTGTCAAATTAAATCATTCAAAGTTACATCTTGTTAGTACTTTTTATTTAGTTCAATTCACTTTGGTCTAGAATAATAATAATAATAATAATAATAATAATAATAATAATAATAATAATCCCATTACAAAATGTTTTAGCCACATTTACGAGGAAGTATATACATCGAATACTACACTTTATGTAACAGTATCGATGACATAATATCTTTATAGATTATTTTATACAATGTCAGTTGTGTAAAGTTAAAAACAGATTTTCGTCAAACTGCACCCTCTCGAGCTACTTGCCCGCCTGGGAAGCCAGACGCAACTGCGAGCGTAGGCAACTTCCCCTGACTCCGCGCTCATTTCTCCTCCAAATCCAGAAAGGGGTGTACAAGCTCAAATGTATTAGAGAAACTAAGTACATATCGCGCACGAAGTATTACGAAGAATGTATACTTTATACGAAATTATGTTTTCCTGAAGTTTTAAATTAAATCACAGAGAACTATGATATCAAAAGAGTATTCTTCGGTATTTCCGTCCGTCCGCCCATTCATCCGTGGGTCCGTCATAAATGCATTCGAAGATGTTAATGATTGTTAGAAAGCATTAAACAGAGATCACAGGTAATAATGCAGATATACGCACATCTTTTGCGCGTAGCAGATTAGTTAAGAAAAATGGTGCTCAAGAAGGGCAAATACCCTAAAGTTTTAGTGTATTTTTGTTATACGGTTGCTATGCATTACCGGTCTTTCCAGTTTTTTCAAAAATAACTCACTCAAAAAAAAGCAATTCTCGTAAACTGTGACCCTTTATAAAATAAGAAAAATTTTCTGTCCTATAGCACTTTTTCTCCAATCTGCAGTTTAGTCGCGAGAACTCCGCGAAATATATTACGTAAAACTAATGCTGCTACAATAACATATACTTATTCCCACTATTTGTAAGGTTTATAACGTTCTAAAAATCAGAAAGAACAATTCAAATTATACTTGCACAATTCTTCAATTGTACTTTGCTCTGAGAAAAATATTGAAGCCGTTTTTGAGAAAAAATATACATAAATTGCATTTACACCAAGCCAAAATTTTTTGAAAGATTGAAATACACTTATATCGATGGAATATATCAGATTTTTAGTGTTCCCCTGAACTTTCAAAAATAGCAAAGTTAAACATTTTTACACCCTCCCATATAACTACATTTTTTACAGGTTTTTTATGAACTTTATTCTCCACAGTGAGTTCTTTAATTATTTCAAGTATATTTTATTAAAATATAAATAGTTTTTGCAAAATGTTTTACTAAAATATCGACAATATCAAAAACACAATTGCTTCAAAAAACGGTTTCACATTGTTTCTTTAAACTTGTCGTTCGTTGTGCAAAATACACTAAATAACACGACAAACTGCATGTTGAAATATTCTGTGATTTTTAAATATTACACACATGTATGCTTTTGTTATCTCTCACGTCATTAACATTCGTAACAACAAATAAATAGTAAACGAAGGAAAACCTGCTTCAATTGAGTTTTGCATTTCAACCAAGCACTCGCGTGTGCCATTGAAAATGAACATGATGATGGTAAGGTGACAATAATTTCAAGTCCCTCAATTCAGAAAAACATCAAATGGAATATCCATATAGATTAATTGAACCCTAATTTAAGTTTGTTATGCTACCATTCCCAATTCATTCTTCGTGCAGCTCATTACGTGTCTTTTGTGATTGTATTACATTTCCCCCTGAGCTTCAGTAGAATATCCTGATTGTACGAACAATTGTACGAATAATATTCAAATACCATCCACGTGATTCTCATGGAAACCTCTTTTCATTGAACTTGGAATATTACTGTTGCCTTGCCTATTTATTTTCGAAGTAATGAATACGATTTCTAATACGAGAAGAAAGAGGCAAAGGGAGGTTGTCCATTTATTTCTCTACTGATGTCTAAGGTTCAGGTACTTAGCAGATGCAGAACATTGGATTTGAATTACGCTTGAATAAATGTACATGGTTTGTAACAAGTGAAGACAATGCCCGTGAATAATATATAATTTGTGATAGCTGATTCTCAGTGTGGCGGCAACTTTTTTCAACCTGATGGCAACGTTGACATCAATTCCCATTCTCATCCTGCACTACACTGGGAAATCGCAGTTCCCGCGCGTTTGCCTGCTGCTGGCAATGACGATGACGGGGCTGCTGCGCGTGACGATGCTGCTGCTAACGGTGGACGCTGCGCGGGAGGCCGGCGCGCAGGCGGAGCGCACCTCCGTCCTCGCGCAGAAGGCGCAGCTGGCGGTGGCGGTGGAGGCGGCGGGAGCGGACGCGCTGTGGCAGATTAGAAAGGTAGGAGCACCCACACCTCCGCGTGGCCGATTAACCCGCGCCTCAATCGACGCGAAGGAGGGCGCGGCGGAGGGTCGAACCTCGAGATGGGCGCTGATAGCTCCTAAGAAGCCTCTATCCATGAAAACGACACGTCGTGAACCCGTATTGTTAAGTTTATACTTTCATTTAACGATCCTCTAGAGATTGTAGCAAATGACTGGGGTAGCAGTTAATTATCCGGGTTCCTTCTTAGTTCGGATGTCCTAAGGTCTTCGAAGGGCTCTGTTAGGCTTCGATTTTTTTCCCAGTTTGATGAGAGAATTTTGAGAACTTGTACACAGCCGCCTGTTGAAGCGAAGATTACCGCTGTAGAGACAAGCGACTCTGATTCCAGGAACATCACAATTACGATGTCAGCGTTACAAGCTCGATACAAACACTAAATTCATCAAGAAAAACCTTATATGTCACCTACGTGATGATTAGTTCCTCGTCACGACGAGACGGAACCAGCTAATTTCGTAGCAACTACCGCTCGGCAGCAATATATTCAAAGAGTATACACACTCGTGGTCTCATTGTTAACAATGCACTGATTTGCACGACGAATAACAAACTCTTGACATTAGACACAACGTCTTTTCTGAGATCATTTTCAACGACCAGTCTTGGTTTGCATTTCAACAAAGTAACAATCACCAACACTACACTTGAGTGGACTACACATTCTACACTTGTACGAAGTGATGATACACGTAACTACATTGAATGACATTGTAATTGGAATCTGTGATTAAATTAATTATATGGGTAGTGAGCTCCCACAATGGTGATAATGCCTCATTTTATATAACACATTTTACTTTCACTAATACGTCATAGGCTTGCCCGGTCGGACGCTCAGTGGAGCACATGAACTCCTTTTCTTTGATTGATTTTGATAATGTGTTTTCTCAGACATACCCACATGCACTCACTCATTAGGTAATTATGAATGTGATTACTAGGTTTGCAATAAAACATAGTTTACCTGGTAAAAATTGCTATTCATGAAATTTGATACATTAATTGGGTCTAAATTCGCATTCTCCCTGAGGCGGCGTCAGCAGTAGCGATAGTTTCTTGTGACTTCATGTCAAAAGCCGACCAGCTATTCACCGCGTCCGCACTCACGTACTGCAGACTAACTCCAAGTTCGAGATCAGAATCTGCGTGGTGTCTGACGGGAAGTCAACAGCTAACTGTTCATAATCGCAGTCAGAATTCAAGTGTTGTCATAATCGTTGTCAGAAAACAACTGTGTCTTCTCGCACAGCTTCGCCCTGACAAAACCTCCCTTTCCTACTCTCCGTACTCCGGCATTGATTCGCCCAATTCTACTTCTGCCAATACATGTTACTATCTCAAGCCTGACTAGAACCTCGATTTCGTATTGGTGGGAAAATCCGAGTCACTGTCGCTTGCACTTTTATTCTATGAATTTATAACGAGAGTACAAGAATGGTCCCTTTTCACTTGTGTACTGTGCGCCGGCGTAGAGTAGAACTGTGTTTCCTCTACCCTTGAGTGTAAATGTACGCAGAGGGCGAAGGCGTGGGCGGTGGCGCCGGCGGAGGCAAAGGAGCAGCTGGCGCATTTGGAGGCGCTGGCGCAGGCGGCCCAACGCCGCCCCGTCGCCTTCTCCGCCGCCGGCTTCTTCGCCGTCGACCGCCCCTTGGTGGGCGCCGTCGTCGGCTCCCTCGCCACCTACCTCCTCATCTCCGTGCAGTTCGACATCCTGGGCAACGGACAGGCGCCGTCCAATTAGAGGTCCCCTCAGTTGGGTTGGACTTGAAATGCATATATCTGTGAAAATTAGTCAGGGATGGTAATATAAAGATGATGCGATTTGGCAATTTTACGTCACCATGGTAAAATGTTTTATTCATAAATTAGGTGTCAACATTAATTGTCTTTCAGGGGTTTTCACAATTTGTTATTATGGTTCGGAATCGTGTTTTCTGAAATTAATATTTTCCAGACAGGAAAATAAGTATTCAAGGTCATAAAAAATTGTCCTTACCAGAATTATGAACGGCAACACACTCAGCGAGCATTCCGTTCACTTTACCTAGATGTTTCCGCTACGATTGTTAGCCCGAGAACACATCAAGACCACACGTAGGCAAGGCCACCTTCATCTCCAATGGATCTTGAAATGTAAAATAATTGTGAAATAATAGGAACTTCGTGCGATATATTAGAAAAATTAAGAAACTTTTGAAATGTTTCAGATTAAATCAAAAATTAGGGATGTGAAAAAATTACGGAATTTTTCAAGTGGTTAGAGGGGAATAAGAAATGTCACAGAAAACGTGATTTTCCCAATCAATTCCAAAACAAGTGGAATGTACCGTCAAACAGCTTTTTACTATATTGTTCAATTACAAATGATGTAAATAGTTCCAAATAAAATATAAAAAGATAAGTGCATACTTTGAATGTATTGAAATTTAATTCAATATATTTTGGCATGGAACCTTTGGTAAGTGGCTCACTGATTGTACTTTGTGTCTTAGCTAGATGACGTGATATGTGCCAGAAGTAAAAGTAATATATATATATATATATATA